TTCAAATCAGTTTCATGTATTTTTTTGTTTCACTTTTCCTATGTGCGTGTGTGAAACCCCTAGAATATTGAGGGCCTGATGGAACTATTATAGCTTTTGAAAAAAAAAACGAAATTATTGGCGAATGATAGTTGGATGTGAAGCAATGGATGCAGACAATATCAAAATCACTGATTTTTTCTTTAATTTTTTGATTTTTTCGAACACTTTAACTCTACTTCCAGCTTTTGGAAGTGGGAAGCGATAACTTGCCCACAATCTTGTATTCAATACAAAACAACTGATGACTCTGTCTTGTGCCTGTCTTAAAGTTGCCGTGAAGACTTTGTTATAGCACTAGCACTGATATTAATCTCGGCATACTAATACTCATTATCATGAATTTCTATCGACCTTGAAGCCTGCGAACGCATCGAAAAAAAATTTACCAAAGTTTCAAATCTTTCAGACAATGAGAATCGGGGTTATCATCTGTATTATCCTGTGTCTCTGTGAGCCAGAAATAGCAGCGAAAAGAAAAAAGAAACGCATCAAGAAAAAGCCAAAACCAATTCTGCCAAAACCAATCCTGCCAAAACCAGCAATTCCTATAGTACCCCCCTCGATACCCCGCAAACCCCTTGAAACGATCCATTGTAACAAAACATTGTATCCGAGTGAGAAGGTGCAAAAAGTCAAAGTAAGATGTCATTCTGCCACGCTTTCCTTTTTTCGTTTAGTAATTTTTAGGTCGGTTGTTATGTTGTACTGAACTTCACCACAAGAACGAGAAGTCAAATGTGGTTGCGTGCAGTGATAGGAAAACGAGTGGAGCACACACCGGTAAAGAATGTGACGAAGGAAACGGAAAAGAAAGAAGTGCAGAAAAAAGTTGTGAAGGAAATGGAAGGGAAAAAAGAGCAGAAGAAAGTTGTGAAAGTGGTGAAAGTCACAATCAAAAAGAAATCAAAAAGACCACTTCGCAAAGGAAACCGACCGCGAAAGCGTCGACCATCGCGAGCTCAAAGGAGAAGACTGAAGAGAAAGAAGGCTAGACCTCAAAGGAGAAGACCGAAGAGAAAGAAGCCTAAAAGAACAATAAAACCACCAAAGCTAACTACTACCCTACCGCCACCAACAACTACGCCGCCACCAACAACTACGCCGCCACCGTTAGTGATGGATCGTTTGGCGGTTAGGGAAGCCCTTCAGGACTGCTCGAATCGAACTGGAAACGCAACAGTGTGGAAAACTTGGTACCATCAAATGTGCTTCGGATTTGTTTCAATAAATGCTACATTGCCATTGAACAATACGGTAAGTTTTCGCTAATCCAACAATTACTGAATATAATCTAACGTAATCTAAATCTTAATTTAACATGATTCATTAACCGAAATTTAACCCTTAAATGGGTGGCAGCATTGCAGTATTTGAGGGTAGATGTTGTAATATAAGGCATCTGGATACCCCTCCTTACATCTCTGCACAAAATCTGGACGATTATGAGTTGATCGCATTAGACCCATCTACACATACTAAAGTCTCTATTTCCAGCACAGAACCCTGAGTTGATCATCGAGTGAAATGAAAAATACTAGAAAATTTTAACTAGTGTTTAAGCAGATTGCTCATTATTTTTTGGAATTCCTGTTTTGCTGATAAGAATGAAAACATCATAATCAACTTGTGTTTTCATATTTAACGCATTGACGTCCGCTTGACACACATGGTGTGTCAAGGCTTGTGTCGATGAAATTGCTATAAGTTTGTGTGAAAACTCCAGGAGTTTTCTTTAGTGCTGGATCTAGATACAACCTCTATTGTTTTTGCCAACATCCAAGCGCCATTGTAGGTGTACTGTAGACGGAATTGCGTTTGATTTGATCTGAAAATTTTGACTGGTTTGTGAAAGCCCTTGGTCGTTAGTTTGTTAATTGTGATTTCTCGTTCATTTCGTCGCACCCCTCCTATATTCAACTTTTTCCGTGCTCTCGCATAAACGTCCTTCTCTCGCACCCAGTGAAAAAAGAAACAGCAAGAAAAAGAAGAAATAAGAAATAGAAAAAAAGTAGTTTACCTCTTTTGAAACTCAGCCGAGACAAGGCGTTCGGTTGATTTCCTATTCAAATTGGTTGAAGGCACTGGTTATGAAATGAAAACTAATCAATTACATGAAGAAATACGAAGTTATTGATAAACCTTAGTTGTAGCCATGGTGCAAAAAGCACAAGCTTGTAAAGTCGCCTATGTACGTGCTTGAGATATTTTATTTAAGGTGCAAAGGAATGCCACGATAATTAGCAGAGGAGTACTACTGATAGAGAATCTTACAATAGAAGATTCTGGCCTTTATCAAGCACGAAGTGGGGTAAGTACAAACAATTAATGTGGTTTCGTAGTTTAGCTTTGTAAAAAATAGATACTTTTAAAGGTGTGCAAAAATATCAATACAACTGGCTACCAACAACAGTTTAAATTTGTAAGGCACGTGTCATACTTGATCCGCTTAACCCACTTGATCCGCTTAATCCGCTTGATCCGCTTTGTCATAGGTCAATTCATTTAACTGACCAATAGTGAAGCGGGTGGACCTCAATAGGATCAAGTGGATAACCGCTTCGCAACTGGTCAGTTCACTGAGTTG